ACACACATCTCTCTCTCTCTCTCTTTCTCTTTCTCTCTCTCTCTCTCTCTCTCTCTCTCTCTCTCTCTCTCTCTCTCTCTCTCTCTCTCTCTCTCGTGCGCTCTCGTGTGTGTGCGCACGCGCGTGCACACACACACACACACACTTCCTCGCACCTCCCCGCACCTTCCTGCACCTCCCCGCACCTCCCCGCACCTTTCCCCGGCGCGCGCGCGCGCGCGCACACACACACACACACACACACGCAATCAATCAATCAATCAATCAATCAATCAAACCTTTTTTTTTCAAGTTTTTTGTTTATTTATTTTCAAATTTTGCATCTTTATTTTTCTAAAACACATCATACCCCTGCAAAAAACAGAAATTGATTTCTAAAAAATACAGGTGAACTCAGGGACCATATATCTGATGATAAAAAATGACAAAAAAAAAATCCAGCTTTTCTTTATATATATATTTTTTTATTTTTTTTAAATCGAATTTATTTTTTGATTTTTTTTAAATTCTAAACAAAGTCGGATTCCAAAACAAAAAATATGAGGTTGTAGGGCTTAAAATTCCCTACAAGCCCATTTTTTTTTTTTTTTTTGCCGATTATTTAGTTCAGGAAAATTCTGGTAAAATCAGGTCCGCGGCGCGGACCACGTCGGCCGCGGACGCGGACCCGTCTGCGTCCGCCATCCGAGATTGGACCCGCGGACGCGTCCACGGGTGTTACATAGTCTGCACGCGGTTCTTGACCTTGTCCATCACATCCTCCTTCTCCTTTTTCGTGAGTACGCCGTTTGCTAATTTCCTCGCAATGAGATCGCCAAACTCCACAAGGATGGTGGGAGAAACTCCTTCCCTGTCCATCCTCTTCAGGAGGTTGTACACTGCCTCCATAATTGCCACAATTTTCCTGACTGTGTCCCACCAACTCTCTGACCTGACAATGTAGTAGACAAGGTCGTTTTTTTTCTGCAGCTTTTGTCCCGACCATCTCAATGCCCGCCACGTCACTGCACAACCTCCGTCCACCATCTCATTCAACACTTCCTCCCTGCCCGCCAGCCTCTGCAACATCTGGTACACCGACCCGAACTTGACCTTTGTCGGGCGCAACAATGACAACGAGTCATCGATGGATATCATGAGACCGTGCGTGGCGTGATGGTTCCTGATGCACTTCACGATCATGTCCGTCGTCTTCACTGTGTCCTTCACCCAAGGCAAACTACTGAGGTCCTTCAACAACAGACCGCAGCAATGCGCTCCACATGACAGTGATGATGACACCCGCGGTATCCTTGCAACGTCTCTTTCGGTCCGCCTCTCCAAGATCTGCACTGCCTTCTTGTCGACCTCAACATTCTCTGTGTAGATCGCGTTGATTCGTTTGAACCTGACCTCCCGCATCACCTGTTCCCACAACTTCGCCAATGTTGTTGCATGGTCACGAAAACTGCTCCTTTCTCCCCCGCTGCTAGGAAATTCATGACCGGCTGGTTCTTTGCGATCTGTCGATCCGTCTATGATGAATGTGAAGCCGGTTTTGTCCCAACAAACAGTCAAGGGGTTGATTGACTTTTGGACCTTCAGGAAAATGTAGTCCAACATGACAGTCCGCATACGCTTGTAGGTAGGCAACTTCACCTTCGGCTTCGCATTGGCAACCTCCAAGCAAGCATCGTGAAGAGTCTGCGTGGTGTCGAAGTTGTCCAACTTCTTTTGCTCGTCGTTGTCAATCCACTTTCTTATTGTGGTCTGCATCTTCGCCAGCACAGCACAGGTCGCCCCTCCACTGGTGCCATCATCACCCTTCAGGGCCTTAAGTGTAGTTTCGTCATCTATTGTTGCGATCGGTGCAGCAAATTGTGGAACAGGCCCTCGAACAGGCGAACCGGCCAAGACGAAGGATTGTCCGCATCTGATCCATCCTCCGCAGCCTCCTCGTCCCTCTCTGCGCCCCTGGCGAGTCCTCTGAAGTTTTGCAACAAGTACTGGGTGTTCTTGTCTTTGGGGTTGACCTTGCTTCTCTGAGTGACAAGCTCATCCCGTCCGAAAAGGACACAGTTTCTGCACTTTCAAGAAATGCTCCACTGCCTGTGTAGATGAGTCCCTGAACACCATGGAACAAAGGCAACAATTCAGCCAATACTCCCACGTCCTGTCGAGACTGCCTCCTGCCCCTGTTTGACCCACTTCCAGGCTGCACTCTTCTTCAACAACTTTTTATGCTCGTTCTCGTCCTTAGCCTGAAAGAGATCAGGATCAGTGACAGGTGTTGCCTCCTTGTTGATGGCCGTCGTTGTTGACTGCGCTGACTTGCTTGACAAAGGCTTATCGGAAATAGGTTGCACTTTCTCTTTCCTTTTGCCTGCATCGTGCTGCCTAGCCTGTCTCTTCGGCCCAGCCCCGCCACTGCCGTGACCCACCATGATGTCTCCTGCAGTGTGTAAGAAAATAAAAAAACAGCTATGGTTAATGGAGGAGGTGCATCGGTGCTGCCTAGCCTGTGTCTCGTCGGCCCAGCCCCGCCACTGCCGTGACCCACCATCATGTCTCCCGCAGTGTGTAAGAAAATAAAAAACCAGCTATGGTTAATGGAGGAGGACGAGAAGAAGAGGAGGAGAAGAGTAGGATGAGGAAGTAGAGGAGGAAGAAGAAGAAGAAGAAGTACGCAAGGAAGATGAATCAGCTTCGGAAAAAAAAAAAAAAAAAAAAACGGCTATGGCTAACGAAGGACGGTGAAAATGATGAAGAAGAGGGGAAACAAGAAGAGGAGGAGGGGGAAGAAGTAGCAACGAAAAAAAATAAAATGGAGGAGGACGAGGAAGAAGAAAATGACGAAGAAGAGGGGAGATAAGAAGCGGTGTGTGGGAAAATAAAAAGAACAGCCATGGCTAATGGAGGAGGACGAGAAGAAGAGGAGGAGGTAGAAGATGATGACGAAAAAGACGGAGGAGAAGCAACGAAAAAAAATAAAATGGAGGAGGACGAGGAAGAAGAAAATGACGAAGAAGAGGGGAGAGAAGAAGCGGTGTGTGGGAAAATAAAAAGAACAACCATGGCTAATGGAGGAGGACGAGAAGAAGAGGAGGAGGCAGAAGATGATGACGAAAAAACGGAGGAGAAGAGTAGGATGAGGAAGTAGAAGAAGAAGAAGAAGAAGAAGAAGAAGAAGAAGACGAAGACGAAGAAGACGAAGTACGCAAGGAAGATGAATCAGCTTCGGAAGAAGAAAATGACGAAGAAGAGGGGAGAGAAGAAGCGGTGTGTGGGAAAATAAAAAAAAACAGCTATAGCTAATGGACGAGGACGAAAAGAAGAGGAGGAGGAAGAAGAAGATGATGAAAAAGACGGAGGAGAAGAGTACGATGGGGAAGTAGAAGAAGAAGAAGAAGAAGACGAAGTACACAAGGAAGATGAATCAGCTTCGGGAAGAAAAAAAAAAACGGGAAGATGAATCAGCTTCGGAAAAAAAAAAACAACGGCTATGGCTAACGAAGGACGGTGACGAAGAAAAGGGAGGAGAAAAAGAGGAGGAGGAGGAGGAGTACGAAAATGATGAAGAAGAGGGGAGACAAGAAGAAGAGGAGGAGGAAGAAGTAGAAGAAAATGACGGAGGAGAAGAGGAGGAGGAGGAGGAGGGAGAAAAAGAAGAAGATTGGCGAAGAAGAGGGAGGAGAAGGAGGAGGAGAAGGAAGTGAAAGACGGCGAACAAGAGGGAGGAGAAGGAGGAGGAGGAGGTGGAAGAAGAAAATGACGAAGAAGAGGGGAGGGAGGAGGAGGAGGGAGAAGAAGAAGAAGAAGGCAAGAGAGTTGAAGCAACAACGGAAAAAAAAAAAAATTAACAGCCATGGCTAACGGAGGAGGAGAAAAAGAGGAGGAGGAGGAGGGAGAAGAAGAAGGGAGGAAGAAAATGACGAAGAAGAGGGGAGAGAAGATGATGATGAGAAGAAGAAGAAGAAGAAGAAGAAGAAGAAGAAGAAGAAAAAGAAGAAAAAGAAGAACGCAAGGGAGTTGAAGCAGCAACGGAAAAAATAAAAAATAAATTAACGGCTATGGCTAATGGAGGAGGAGGAGAACAAGAGGAGGAGGAGGAGAGAGAAGAAGAAGATGACAAAGAGGAGGGAGGAGGAGAATAAGAAGAGGAGGATGAGGAGGAGGAAGAAAATGACGAAGAAGAGGGGAGAGAAGAACAGGAGGAGGAGGGAGAAGAAGAAGAAGACGAATGCAAGGGAGTTGAAGCAGCAACGAAAAATAAATAAATAAATATTGGCTATGGTTAATGGAGGAGGAGAAGAAGAGGAGGAGGAGGAGGAGGAGGGAGGAAAAGAAGACGATGACAAAGAAGAGGGGGGAGAAGAAGAAGAGGAGCAGGAGGAGGAGGAGGAAGAAAATGACGAAGAAGAGGGGAGAGAAGATGAGGAGAAGAAGAAGAAGAAGAAGAAGAAGAAGAAGATGATGATGAACACAAGGGAGTTGAAGGAGCAACGAAAAAAAAAATAAAAAATTAACGGCTATGGCTAACCGAGGAGGAGGAGAAGAAGAGGAGGAGGAGGAGGAGGAGGGAGGAAAAGAAGAAGATGACGAAGAAGAGGGAGGAAAAAAAGAAGAGGAGGAGGAGGAGGAGGAGGAGGAAGAAGAAAATGAGGAAGAAGGGAGATAAGAAGAGGAAGAAGAAAATGAGGAAGAAGAGAGAGAAGAAGAGGTGGAGAAGAAGAAAAAGAAGAAGAAGAAGAAGAAGAAGAAAATGAGGAAGAAGGGTGGCCGGGAATCAGGTTTCGGCCGTGGTCAGGGAGCGAGGCGCAGCGCTACCGGGAGCGTTGCGCCCCGCCCGACGCTACGTGTTCCAGGAGATGGCGCGCGGCGGCGATGGCAGCCTTTTTTGAAGTCCTGGCGCTTAGCGCACGAGCAGGAGACCGCAGGCGCTTAACCACACCATATCACAAGTTGATGTGACAGGTGGTCTGACTCCCGGTGGCGTTCAATTTCTAGGAGTTCCACGTTTTGCTCCATTGCCGCTGCGTTGCTGCACATGTCTTTCGGCCTGAGAGGCGTCGACTTTGTGGATGTCTGTGGAGTACAGTGGAGTTAGCCCTAGGTACCTCGAAGTGTGAGTGATTACAGTAACGGCCAGCCATTGGGGTACTGCTCGCCATCATCCTTGCCATCACTATCACTACTGCTTTCGTCGTCAGGGGCGCAACTTGGACGTGTTATCAAGTATACTCGACATTGTTATCGCCATCACAACGAGGTTATCCGGGGCGCAGTTTGTCATCAAGCTGATGTTCGTCATCATCATCATCAAGGTTTGCTAGCATCATCATCGTCAGGGTGCTGCTCATCATCATCATCAGCAGCAGCAGCATCGACAGGGCGTGGTTCATCATCATCATCGACATCGTCACCATGATAATGTTTCGTCATCCGGGTGCCGCTCGTCACCACCATCATCGTCATCAGGGTACTATCATCAAAGGTGCTCGTCATCAACACCATCATTTGCATCATCATCATCATCATCATCATCATCATCAGGTTATCATAAAAGGTGGTAGTCATCAATACCATCATCATCCTTTGGTCATCACAGGGCGCTGTGCGTCATAATCATCATCATCATCATCGTCAACATCAGATCATCATCATTAGTGATGCTCGCCATCACCGCTATCATCATCGTTATCATCAAATCATCATCATTAGTGATGCTCGCCCTCACCACCATCATCATCCTGTTGTCATTACAGGACGCTGTGCGTCAGCATCATCATCATCAGCATCAACCACATTACCGACATCGTCATCATCATCATCATCATCATCATCAGTTTGCAATCATACGGGCTGTTGGTGCTGCTCTTTACTATGATCAACATCATCATTCTGTCTTCATCCTCACCATTATCATCATCATCATCATCAGTTTGTTTTCAAACAGCAGGTGAGTTGGTCGTCACCATCATACTCATCATCATCATCTTCAGGGTGTTGTTCATCGTCATCAACAAAATCCAAAAATCTCATCTACCTTTTCGTGTATTCCATCATGAGATCCTCATTGAGGATAATTGACTGCTTCATTTGATTTCGGGCTAGGGTTTCTGCGGTCACGGTGGGGAGTTTTGGGGAATGGGTGGGGGGGGGGTTGGGGAGCCTTACTCTACAGGGGCGCTGCAAGGTGGGAGGTGGCTGCTCTGTCGGGGGCGGGGCAGATTTGTGGTTTGTCCTTGTCTGGGGCCTGGGTGAGAGAGTTGGTCGCCTTCAACCGCAGCAGGGGCAGACAGGGACAAAGGGGAGGGCGAAGGCACCCTCTAGGTGGGAATTGGCTGCCTTAGTGGAGGGGGGAGGGAGGGGATCTGTTCCAGGTAGGGGCCAAGGTGAATCTCCTCGACGGTGGCAGCGTGGAACAGCGGTGGTGGTGTAGGGGGAATTTTTCTCTGCGCGGTGACAATTGGAAGCTTTTTGGGCCAATCATGTTATTTTCAGCGTTCTGGGGTTCTGAGAGCTAGAGCAGCATCGGGTCTTCTTCTTTATTAGGATCTTCGACCTCTTTATTAGGATCTTCGACCTCAAAGATGGTTGCACTTGGACTGACATCAATAGGGTTGCTCTGTTCTATGCTCTCAACTTGCCAATGCCAGAACGACGCTGGCCGGAGCTGGGGTGTTACCCTGTAACCTGCCACGGCAGGAGCGCGAGGCCTTGTAGAGAGATCTGTGGTTTGCCGAGGGAGGAAGGCAATCCAGTGGCGAATTGGGGGGGCCGCCTTGACACCCTCTGAGGCCTGGGATAGTCTCGGGGGCGAGAAGAGGCCAGCTATGGTTGATGTTGTTTTGGTGGGTACTGTCTTTAAGTCCCGTAGGGGGGTC